AAGAGTAAAAAAGATGAGTCTCAATATACATTAGATAGACTTTCCACTTATAGACTTAAGCTTTTAACTGGGTATAAGTTCCAAATAATGTATGTTAGGCCTTCATATGACGTTTGTGAACTCTAGAGTTTCTTCATAACGGATTGGGCCGGTAGTATTGTGCACTTGTGAGCTCCCTAATTTCCTAACAAACTCGGCATACGGTGGTAATGTAAGTTTGCAATTTTTGCACAAAAAATTACAAGTTAAAATTCTTAATTTTAGAAAATAGAAATATATCATTTATAGCATAAATCATTATAAAATTTCTTTAATTTTTATTTAAGAGAAAAATATTAGAGAGATAGTATTGCTTATAAACGATGTGTTTTAAATAGAAATTATTAGATAGTCGTGGAGTACTATGTGGTGTTGCCTACGTGGTGCTTCCGATATGAGAAATCACAACTCACACTAAGTGGTCCGTTTATTGTTGCCAACTACTTAACAGTAATGAGTTACTATGTCCTATTTACGCAATTCTACGCTGCATTATTGATTTAGACCATCATATAAACAACACCACATATTCGTCTTAGAGTACCAAATAAGTAACCTATTGTGAAAAATGCAAAAAAAAACCCTTGACAAAGAGCATATATAAGTGAGAGGACAGAATTTGTACATGAAAAAATAAATAAAAATTGGAGGGATGGGGGGCACGTGACCCCTCTGCTCCTTTAGCTCCGTCTCTGATTACAATTTAAGAGCCTCTTGTCTATGTTTGAAGATTTACCCATGTGTTATTGTTTTTGTTTGTGAATTGAATTTGTTGTTATCTCATATATTTACTCTTATGGTTTGCGTCTACATAATTATGAAGCTAAGCTTTTGTATGTTCAATTTTACTCGTGTGCTTCCTTCTTTTCTTTTCTTTTCTTTTCTTTTTTTGTCATTAATTATTAAGAAAATCAAGTTTTGGTTATTCTTTATGGTTCCTCTTTCTTTCTTATTTGATAATATTATTTATGTGAATTTCTAAGCGCAAATTATGATGCTGAAGTTGTTATTCTCAAAATTTGTTGAGATTGCTGGTGTGCAAATTATGTTGGTGTTGCATTATCCATCTATTGGCTCTTACAATTGTTATGCTATCAATATATATAATACAACAAAAAGTATAATAACATTTTTCCTTCGTAAATTATCAGTTATTAACAATCAATATCACTTCCCTCACACATAATAACATGCATATATAAAAATGCAAACTCTTGAGAAATACCACGTGTACCATCACTAATACAGAAAAATGTACAAGATCGATCCCAAAATAAATATAATCCATATACATTATTATTATTATTATTATTTGGTACAATTTTCTGTGTTTAGCTATGCATGTAGATTTATTGAGCAAAACATATCTTTTGTTTGGTTGAGTTTTGAGAAAATGTTTTTCTTTATATTAAAGCTAGTTTGGTGAAAAAAATTGAGCAAAACATATCTTTTGTTTGGTTGAGTTTTGAGAAAATGTTTTTCTTTATATTAAAGCTAGTTTGGTGAAAAAAAAATAATAATAAATAAAACACCGTCATTATTTTCATATGGTTCTCTTTTTTGGGGGGCGAATTTTTTTTTAAATTCAAAAAATGTTTTTAATGTTGATTTTTGTCAAGCTAGGTTCTAACTTTTCAAAGAGGGAAAAAAAAAAATCAGAATTTAAGTTCCGAAGACTCAAGGGTTTTTCTTTTTTTTTTTTTTTGGCAGTATTTTTTTCTCTTGTTTTAGCTATTCGCAGCTATGAACTACTGTTCTGGACTGAAAATGTTGAAGCATAAAACATGAGGCCCAAATTGTGTTTTGATAACTATGGGCTACCGATTAGTAACTAATTAAAGGCGTACTTACCAATAAGTTTCATATATAAAGTTTAAAATTCATCTAATCTCAAAATAAAATATTTGTACCAATTAATCTTACATATTTTTAATTGTTACCAAAAAAAAAATATTTTTTATCACTTTAAAAGTATTGCTACATCCAACGACTTCTGTCAGACTCGCCGAAATATTCAACATCACTGGAAAGTCGCCAGAGTATCACCAGAAGTTCACTGGAGTGTTTTGAGCATCTCCGAAAATTCGCCGGAGTGTTCTAAACGTCACTAGCAAATGTCAAAAGTATCATCGGAAACTCACCGGAATATTCAGAATATTGCCCAAAAAAAAAAAAAAGTAAACAAACAACTAAGCAAATAATCTGTAATATTGATCAAACTTAAAAGTAAATTTTGAAACTGTAAAATGTTACAGTTTCAAAGCATTATTCTATTAAGTTGGAAAACATGTTATGACACTGTAAAATTTTGCAATTTTAAAGCATAATTCATTTCGGCACCAAAAAAGCTAAAACTGTAAAATTTTACAGTTTTCACCGCCTGTAACTAAAACTTAAAAACAATTTATTCAAAACTTGAAATTTTTCTCCATTAAAACAGAAAAATAAATGTGTGTAACAGAGAGAGTGTAGAAAAATTGAGAAATCGAAGGAAAGAATAGATATAGAAATAATATTGTATTTCGGCAACTATTTTTGGTTTAAATCTAGTCGAATCTCATGTAAATCTACTCAGATCTGATGTAGATCTGAGTAGATCTACTCATTTTCTTCACCGTCTGTGAGGATGAAGTTACGAGTTGATGTCGATGGTTGGTGGTTACCCGTGAATCCCAATCAATGGTAGTCGTCAGTCACCGGTGACTATATATTAGAAAGAGAAAGAGAATAAGGAATGTGTGATCATCGGTTGTTGGACATGACAAAGAGAAGGAAAAAAAAATAAAAAAATAAAAAATAAAAAAAGAGAGAAACGTAAAGAATGAGAGAAAACGCAGAGAGAGAGAGAGAGAGAGAGAGAGAGAAGAAAAGTGTAGGACTTTTGGGTATACTCAAAAAGTTATTGGATTAAATAGTGTACACATATTTCAAATAGAACCTACAGATAATTTTCCCCCAACTAAAAACATGAGGCCCAGAATGTGTTTTGCTAACTAGGTCTATGGGTTGCTTTATTTCTTCTTGGTCCCTTTATTTTTAATCAATTATTATGATTAGCTAATTGGGCTAAGCTTAAGTTCATTCCTTCTGGGCTTTTCTTGCCTAAAAACTTTTGGGGAACTGACCCAAAGGTCCAAGCCCAACATATCATACCCCATTTAGGCCAAAAACAAATTTAATACTCCATTAAGTCCTCAAATTATCAATAAGACGAAAATACCCACAATATATCATCCAATTTACACGCGCACAACCATCACCCACTATCATCTCAGTCTGATCAGTACACTGTCACATCTCCGCCGCTCGAAATTGAATTCTCAGTCCTCCATCTCTCCTTCGTTCGACTCCATTCCCTCTGAAACCCTACCCTAACCACAAAATGAAACCATTCATCTTCATCACCCACGATCATCTCAGTCTGATCAGTACACTGTTACATCTCCGCCGCTCGAAATCGCATTCTCACTCCTCCATCTCTCCTCCGTTTGACTCCATTCCCTCTGAAACCCTACCCTAACCACAAAACGAAACCGTTCATCTTCAACACAACACCAAGCCGTTCATATTCTCCAATCGGCGACTCTCAACAACACGAAGAACCATCACCACTTTGAAGAAATTTCATAGTTCCTGACTTCCGATTCACAGAAATGGGGAAAAAAAGTAACATCTCTCTTCACCTATTCATTATTTTTCATTCAAATTTGTATATTATTCTTTCATATTTCGTATATATACATTTTACATACTTCAAAATGTATAAACCCTCTTTCATATATAATCCCATGTTTTACAACATTCTAGCCCCCTATTTTTAAACATTCTAATCCACTGTTTTTACACATAAATCCCTGTTTTTACACATTCAACACCTTATTCTTATTCTTGTTGTTCAATATTGGCTTTTCTTATTGTTGTTAGTTTTGAATACTTAATCTTCTCGTTATTATTGTTGTTGTTTACAAAATACAATGAGCTGTTCATATTGTTGATACTGTTTATAAAAACTGCAACATCATACAGTTTCATTTCATCACTCTACAAGTAACATATCTAAATTTATTCAAACTGCAAATGAAACTGCAAAATTACACAGTTTAATCACTACTCAAAACAAATAGCTAACTTATTATAAAGTGCAAATCAAACTATCAAATTATACAGTTTCGTAACTGTTACCAACAAATACATATAACTTCATATTAAACTGCATATAAAACTTCAAAATTATACAGTTTTGTCACTATATTACTCATACCCTGCCGTCGCTTTCATTTTTTCAGAAATAGCTGTCGGAAGATATTGGAAGAAACAAACCCATATGCCCAAAAATCCAATCAGAGATTTAAGTATCTCCCCTTTTGAAAGTCTGTCTCCTGTATCCACTGAAATGCCACCAACATCTCCCCCTCCACAAAAAACCCAACCACCACAACTAAAAACAACCAAACACCACAGACCCCACCAAAAAACCCACAAAACAACCACACTACCTACAAGAAAAAGCCCAAGAACTACACCACAGACCCCACCCACACAACAAACACCAACCACACCTCTAACCACAACAAAAACAAACAAAAGAAAGCCAACAAAAAAACAAGAAGCTCCTCTAACCAAAAAAAGAAAGCCCCAAGAAAGCTCCAAGAAAACCAATCAACTACCATAACAAAAACCAAGGCATCAAAAGGGAAAAAAGCAGCAGTCCCTGCGAAGAGAGTCCAACAATTTAATTACCGTTCCAATATCGGAACAGTAATCAAACTGTTGAAGGGGGTCAAATTCACAAAAGCCCAACAGACAAAGCTGGAAAAAAAATCCCTTTTTGGCTCATTACAAATGCTCTCTCCTCAACACAACTGAAGGCCTCTTGGTGCAGATGCTACAATTCCATTGTAGCAGAAATGACAACACTCTACAACAAAAGAAAAAGAGCATTTATACTTGGCAAAAAAGAAATGAAACTCAAAAATAGTGATGTCAAGCTCATTTTTGGTATCGACTGTGGAGAAGACAGCATCACCACCAAATCCTATGCAAGACCAAAGGATTTTGAGCTTCCATTTTACAAACGAAGATGCAAATCAGTAAAGAGATTGGATGGTAAGTCTTTGAGCAAAATGTTTCAACAAACAAAAAAAGGAAAATCAACCAATGATCTTCAAGATCTTGCAAAGGTCATCACCCTTTACTTGTTCTTGAAACTTCTCATGCCTATAACAGGCCATGCACTCAGTTGGAGTTTCCTCAACTATGTTGACAATCTCAACAACATCAAGAAGTACAATTGGGTTGAGGCAATAAAACACACACTGATGAATTCAATGACAAATGCAAACAACAACCCAAGGCATGTCACTAGATGCGTCATGTTACTCTTGGTAAACATATTACTCAACTAGTTCACACAAAAATATCAGATATCCACCTATTTCTAACTATCTAACATATTTCAAAAAATTTTTACAGTACTGGTACTGTGAGCACAGTAAACTCCTCTGACCATCCAACAAAGAAGACTTCTTAAGGTTTATGAAATGGAACCTTGACAAAATGTACTCCAAGTGGAAACATATCAGCCTTGCTCATTTTGAAAAGGTATTCAAACTCTTCTATACTATCATAGCACAAATCTATTCAGCACTCCTTTCACAGTCATTATAGTAAAAATCATGTTATGAAACTGTCAAATTCTTCAGTTTCAAACAACATATGTTCAACACTTGACTCACATTATTTACAGTATAAATCATATTATGAAACAGTAAAAGTTTGCAGTTTCAAAGCACATGGAGTACTTATTTAACACCACTCATGTTATGGAACTGCAAAAGTTTACAGTTTAAACGCACAAATCTATTTCACATCACTCATATTATGAAACTGTAAAAATTTTCAGTTTCAAGCAACATATTTCGACACTTAACCCACATTACTCACAGTACAACTCATCGTATGAAACTGACTAATTTTACAGTATTACTGATATATGCCACATTGTTCCAATGTAGGTTAACCAAAGTGATTTAACCCCAACTGAACAAAAAATACAGTTATTGCATATCAATCAAAGCACATCAACAGACTCTTCAACAAAGAAACATGACCACAAAAAAGACAATAAGTGAAAAAAGAAAACAAAAGCAACAAAAAAAAGAGACTTCTAGACAGTGATGAGGATGACTTTCTCGAAGAAGAACATCAATCAGAATCAGAATCAGAACAAGAAGAACAACAAAAAAAAAAGTAAAAACCACAAGAAGAACCAGAAAGTGATGAACAAGAAGAAGAGAGTGATGAAGAAAAAAAACAAGTGACTGACGAAGAAGAAGCTGAAGAAGAAGAAACTGAAGAAGAAGAACCTGATGAACAACAAGACAATGATGAAGCAGAAGAAAGACAAGAAGCAAAATGTGATCAACCAAAAGACACTGATGAAGAAGAACAACAACAACAAACAAACCAACAACAAGAAGTCAATGAACAAGAACTGACAAACCAACAAGAAGAACTCCAAGAGAAATCTGACATATTTCATGCACAAGGTAAACTATTGTCTAATACTAAAGCAAATTGCAAAATTTAATTAAACTAACCAAAACACAATCCAACATTTTTATAGGTCATGACCAACCACAAACACCAACCAAAGAGGACGACAACGACAAGCTCATATCAGCCATGAGAGCACAAATGCAAGATATAGAACAAAAATTCATGGCTGAATTGCGTAAAAAAAAAGATCAATTGAAGGAAATGTCCACCAAAAAAACTAGCAGTCCCCAACAAAGATCAATGGTCAGAGAATCAAACAAAAGTCAAGAAAACAAGCACATGACCCAGATTTTGAATACCAACCAATGACAAAAGCCAAAGAAGATACAAGGAACAAGACACAAACTGCTGCTGATGTACCTAAACCAACAGAGGGTACCGATGAAGAAAAAGAGAAGAAGAATGAAAAAAAAAAAAAAAGAAATCAAAACAGAGACAGAACCTGCTACTGAACCCGAGCCAAAAGAGGGTGCTCATGAAGCAAAACAACAACAGAAAGAAAAGATGCAAGAAGATATTGGCCAAGAGAAAGCAGTTGCTGCTGAAACCAACCCAAAAGAGCATGCCAATCAAGAGAAGACACAACTTCAAGTATTGGAAAGTGATGATGATTTCAAGGAAGAATCAATCCAAAACAAGTCACTCGCCATTTCTTGCCGCAAAACAAACAAGGTTTGGCATAGCCTATCCAAAAAAGACCAAGACCAAATTCGACTTATCAACAACACACAATCAAGTGCTTGTGTCTAGTCTGGCAGCGAAGATGAAAATTGCGTATACTTTTCAGATATATGCCGATTGACCAACAGGGAACCCTTATATGGGAATGTAGGTCTCCAACTGCAAAATTTTACAGTTTATGTTCATATTCAATAACCTATTCCACAAACCTAACACATTCTCATATATAACATGTTTCAGGTCATTGATGCCTTCTCAGAAAAGCAATTGGCACTCCAACCAACCATTGAAGAATTTGAGAAAAATGATCTAGCCTTTGCAAGAAATCCATACGCGGGAAGATCTTACGTTTTCTCAACACTCATCAATGTAAGCAAAACTTAACATATATTTCAACTGCAAAATTTTCTACTTTCTTAACATGTCTTACTACATAGTTTTATAACATATTTCAAACATATATATAACTTACAGACTCCACTACAAAACCAAGATCAAGCACTGAGAGAAAAAATGATAGACAACCATTTTCCAAAAGCAATGAAAAACAGATATATCCATTTCCCAATCAACCACGACAATCATTGGACAATTGTGGCCTTTGACAATGCTGATGGGATATGGAGGCACTATAACTCTTTGAGACCAGCAAAAGATTGCCACAACAAGCACTTTGAAATTGCAAAGGAAATTGTAAATTAAATAAAATTTCCTACTTAGTTCCATTCATTTAAAAACATCTCAACTCATCACTATAACTAACAAAAACACCCGCTAACTATTTTGTAGCAACAACATCAACTGAGATGGAATAAAGCATTACTCAGCAATCAAGGAAACATGTTATCATCTCAAGAGTGCGAGACAGTAATTGCATCAATTGAGGAATGCCCACAACAAACCCCACACTCGTAAGATACAAAATCAATAAACTAATCTTCCAATATGCTAAATTTTATAGTTTTACCTAACTAATTAACTTCATCTAAAACTTTGCAGGAATGATTGTGCAATCGCCGTCTGCAATATTATCAACCAATATATCAACTGGCAACCTGTGCAGAAATCACTTCGACCAACTGAGTGGGTCAAATTTCGAGCAGAAATCGTCAGTCAATTCCTCAATGATGAAATCCGATCTTGGAAACTCGAGCACTACCAAATGTTGAAAAAACATACCAAACCATAGAAATAATGAACAAACTTCTTAACAATACAAATATTCAAGTGAACATATCTTTGTACTTTTCTTTTTTTCTTTTTTTCTTTTTTTTTTTAACATGTGACAAGTACTTTATATACTTTGGGGAATGATCTTCTTCTGGTTATTATGGTGAAAATGATTGTTGTCATTGATGTTATTATTGCTCTTCTTCTTGTTATTATTATTGTGCTTGTACTTCTGATTGTTTGTGTACTTGTTTGTGGTTGCATATATTTTTATACAGTAAAAGTTGTTTCTAATAATTCTTCAAACTGCAAAATTATATAGTTTCATCAGGTTGTTTCTAATAATTCTTAAAACTACAAAATTATGCAGTTTCATCAGGTTGTTTCTTATAATTCTTAAAACTACAAAATTATACAGTTTCATTACTCAAACAAAATTTATGCTACACAATTATGCATCCAATTTCATTACTCAACAAATAGATGAACTACATTTCAAAATTGAAAATAAAACTGTAAAATTTTACAGTTTTCTCGCTATAAAATATGAAATAAATGAATCATGTAGTAAAACTGCATTTCAATATAATAGTTTCAATAAGAAATTTTCAACAACCTTCTCTGCATTCCATAAAAATAAAACTAACCAAACCTACAAAAAAAAATAACAATAAAAAACAAAACAAAACTGTTACAAAACAACTTCAATAACTAAAGAACACATCAAAAAACAAAAAATAATTCAACCAACTTTATTCATTACTTCCATAATACCAAGTATCACATTTTTTATTATCATAATTCCTCAAATTTAAATACAAATCCAAAAGAATAGACTGTGGCCTCAAATAGCAGCCTTGCACGTCTTCTTATTGTGATTCCCATATTTCAAGCACCTCCCACACTTGATTTGCATCACATTCTCACCCCTAGAAGGTATCCTCTTCTTTTTGTTCCGCCCGGGCTGTTTCTTCGTTATAAGAGGTTTGATAATCGAACTACTAGCACCATCAAAGTCAAATCTCTCACTTGAAGACACTGGATAAATAGATTCCTTATATGACTCTCTAAAACAATCTACATGAAAAAAGGGATCAATGAAATCATATACATCTCTACCACTACTACACAAAGCATGCATAGCATGACAACAAGGAAAACAATTCAATTGCCATTCATGGCAAGAACAAGTCTGTCTACCAATATCAACATAAAAAGAAATAGAAAAATGAACCTCAAACACAGTATCATTAGCAACAATCACATCCCAAGACTTAGCTAGCTCCAAAGAGTCCACCAACTTCTTTTCCATAACTGGACACAATTTCGTAGTCCATCTTTTAGATTCAGCTCTTCTATTCAACAATTGAGTCATGATTTGAACCCTAATCATATCAACCATACAAGTAATAGGCAACTCACGGGCCCCACCAATCCAATTATTGTAAGACTCGGCAGCATTAGATGACATCTCACCATATCGTCTCCCTCTAAAAAATACATTCGCCCACTTATCATTTTGCAAACCATCCAACATACTATCAACTCTACCATTCCCAATAATACGCCTCAATTTCTCCATATAATGTTGGAAAGAAGTAACCGTTAGCGTATAAGCACATTTAACTAATATTTTCATCAAACTCAGCTTATAGTTAGTACGAAGTCCCACCAGTTTGTCAATCAAATTTCTCTTCAAATGATTCAAGCAATATGCATGATTTGCATTGGGAAAAACCACTGAAAGAGCGTCTAGCAATCCATGTTGATGGTCTGACACAAAGGTCAATCTCCGGCCTAAACCAACACACTTTAACAACTGACTTAAGAACCACATCCAATTATCTTGATTTTCAGCATCAACAATCGCAAAAGCCAAAGGAAACAGACCTGCAAACAAAATAACATGAAACTGCAAAAATTAGCAGACTCACAATACAATAAGACACTGACAAACCAAACCTATACTAACTGTAAATAAATACATACCTTGATTACCATCCTTTGATGTTGCTGCAAGCAAATGCCCCTTGTAATGCCCCTTCAAGAATGTACTATCAACAAACAACAACGGACGACAAAATTGAAAGCCATACAAACATCCATGAAATGCCACAAACAACCTCCAAAAACACCCACTACTTTCATCCACATCTAATTCAAACACACTTCCCGGATTCGTTCTCATGGCCATCTCAAGGTACCATCGAAGTTGGTCAAAAGAAGTTGCAAAATCACCAAACAACCCACCTCTTGCCTTATCAACTCCTAACCATGCAACCTGATAAGAAACATCTATACCATATTGCTTCTTCAACTTTTTTTTAACTTCAACAGGACAAGTCAACGGATTATCACTAATATCATTTTGCACAATATCAGACATAAGTCTAGAACCAACCATTTTGGTACAAGATCTACGAGCAACAACCCCACAAGTATGCACATTATCCAACTTCATTATAAAAAAAATACCGGAATTCATTAACACCTTTCCATACACAAACCATTTACAACTCGTAGACGACTTCATCATACATTCAGCAGTTACTCTTGTTGCATCGTTCTTCAAATAATTCACTGCAAAACCACACTCAACTACATACTTAGCCAATGCAATGCGGAACGCCGGCACTCCACCTTCAAATTCTTGACCAACACTATGTATAATCCCCTTCCAACTAACAGACAACAAACTCTCTCTGGTTCTGGATAAAAACTAGGCAACAAACCACCAAAATCATCACAATCGTTAACCAAAGAACTCTCACCAATTACAGAATCAATCCTACAATAATTACCATCATCAACCTCCACAATTCTCTTGTCACCCACAACAACATCAACAACATGACAACCACTACCACCTACCATTGACAACATATTCCCCAAATCATCATCACATTCAACAATACAATTAGAATATCCAGGAACAGAGAAAAACAAACAAAAGTTACCAACACTCAACTCCTTGAACTTCACACATATTTTCTCAATAACTTCATCATAACTACATCCCTTACTAATCTTAATAACAACACAACAATTACTGTATTTGCACATTAACATGAAACACCGCTCCATACTACAAAATCACAAACCAACAAACAATTGTTCACAGATTCCAAACTGCAAAATTAAACAGTTACAACATATCAGTACCAACACTGCACAATTCACAATTCCAAACTGCAAAATTATACACTTACAACATATCAGTATCAAAACACCAGAATTCACAATTCCAAAATACAACTTCAAAACACATTACACTATACAACAAACAAAATCAACAAAATCAAAATCATTACACTATATCACATACAAAAATCAAATAAAATAAATATCAAACAAACAAAATTTATCACAAAACAAAGAACTAAAACAACATTGCCAAACACAAACCAGATATCACGCAAATTTGCTTATATA